AAATTTGAATCATAGAAATGTGATATGACTGACAAAAACAGCAATCTGTTCAAGCCAACACACCCACGAGACGCTATAACCTGCTTTCTATAGCTGTGGCAGCCACTCTGTGTCTGTCTGGCCAGCTTCAGAGATGTTGCCCTGCAAGAAATCTAATCTAAAAAGGGCAGATGACTGGCAGATAAGGGCACATAAAGAATGACACTGTACTTGCAGACATTCTCTATCTGTGTAATTTACACAGAGCAGGAGATGTAATGGACAGAGGAGGGAGATGCAGAGTTCAGCAGAGCAAGTGGCGAACGATTCAGCTCTAATTACTTTCCCATCTTTGATTTCTACCGTCCGTCCCTGGCCACCCTAATCAATGATTCATGCCCGCTGCTCCTCACTCGCTGGCCCCCATGCAACCTCTTGATTTGCAAACATACACCGCCAGCCAAGCAGTTAGGAGAATACACACATCTACGGTGGGCATCTACATGAAACCAGGCTAGTTCAGCAGGAGAACATTAGTCTGCTGTACAGACAAATACAGAGATGTGGACTTAAACATGTAAACCACATGCACGTGTACACATCAGCACAATACCATAAACATCCTCTCTGTTTGATAAACATTATTTCATTTTACCAGCAAAGACAGATGAAGCTACAATTGTAAAACATGCACAATTGCATGCTGCAAATACCCCCTGCCAAACTACTAATTATCTAAGCTAATACGTTCCAGGCTAATTCAAGTCTATCAATTTTGCAGCCAGGCACTGTGGCCATTACACAGGAGACATATTAAACTAATCTGCTGCAGAAGGGCGATGAGGAAGGCTGGTGTTCCAACATACTGCTTGCCATATGGTCAAGAAGATGACAAACCAGTTGCTTGTTGGATGAGACACATCTGCAATGTGTGCAATCAGTCTATAGTCTTAATAAACAATTTCAAACTCTCCTTAGAGAGCAATCTCTCACATAGCAAACAAGCAGCACACACAGTGGAGCAAATCTCCCATTTCTTGGTCTTTCCAGGAAACTAAGTGTGCAGATGGTTTGATTTCCACAGAAGAAATGCAAAAGCTTTAAGTACAAATATGGGCATTGCTGCATGGCTGACCGTAAGCTGTGAGCATTACTCAATTAATTTAATTTGCCTTAACTTGTAGACAAAAACGTGTTCCTGCACGTCGCTGTTAGGATTTCACAAGGCATGTAAAGACTGATCGACGGCAGATCACACTGTCCTCCGTACAACTTCCCCGTGTGTCGGGCTGTTGCCACATACAGGAGGTCTGATGAAAGAGGTGCACAGCCAGGATAATGGGTCATCGGTCACTGAAACCAAAATGTGGATACGCCACAAGGTTCTTTTTAGCATGATGATATCGGATTGTTTCTGTTTCAATCAGCTGGATGTCATGATCACGTTAGCTGATTTCCGTTTAGAGTGAGGATATTTCACAACGCCCTAATCACTCATTAACGATCCCACTCGATATCATTTTCAGTCGACAATGAGCATTTGCAATTGGATTTGCTCCAAGCAGGCAAGGATCTGAATCTCACAACGATGCAGAAGTATCCAGAGTTTTTGCTTAGATTTAAGTAGCATTTTAGGATTTTGTATTAGCCTGATTTGAGACTTATGAATCATCACACATCTTAGAGTTGTTCAGCCATTCACCTGCTGTTATGCCCAAAGTTTTCCTTGGATTGAAGAAACAAAAACTAAGAAAAAACTCACACCTTATTGAAATGCTGACTCACTGGCAGACATAAAGGATGGAAAAGCCACTCACTCAACACTTCGATGTGCTTATTTCAACGAATAAAGATCGACTTTCCAGCCTAAGATAGCATCTTAGCTACAGAATATTGGTTTATGAGATGGATGCACCAGTAACTTGTTTCAATTTGAATTGAAAACAGCTTTTATTTTGACATATTCTTTTGATCAATATAAAAAAACATCAACTTAAGTGCTGATGTACAAATGAAAACAACTTTAGCATTATTCCTTACTAAGCGGTTGATCCAAAACTACACATTTTTTCTTCCACATGACATGACTATTTTTAGATCTTTAAACAAATCTCTGTTTGATTGGTTCCACATCCAGTAAAAATTACCAAACCAAATACGACACCAAATCTAATTCGCACCACACCAGACCTATTTAAACTGCAAATCAGCAATTAAAGGTCTGAAAACAGCAGCCAGTAGTCACTCAGACAACCAAAAGGACACTTCACATTGACTTGTTTATTCTATTTTTTGTTCTTTTTACCGATCTGTTATTGTAATAATAAGGGTTTGTTGATAATGTACACATCGTCGAGAAATGCACAAATATTTTTTGTCTTCATTGCTGCCCAGTCACTTGTTTTTGCTCTCGATTGGTACTTGTTGATAGAAAAACATGTTTTTTCAAACATGTGCAGCTGCAAGTTGCTGTAAGATCTTGATACCCACCTTTAGTCCGGCAGAAAGCTTATCAAACGCTTAGCAATGTGGTGAGCAGCAGTTAGTCTGTGCCCTGCGGTTGCTGTTGTCATGGGTTTGTGGTGCAGAGGGGATGAAAATGCAACTCTGGTGAAAGCAGAGTCGGTAAAACACAAAAACAGAACAAAAACTAAAGAAATGTCTTTACTGTCTTCACTGGCTGACTTCCCATTGCATCACTGGCAACCTTGGAGAATTATACAGTGGGTTTTTCTAACATTATCATTAGTTGCTATGGCTTTCAATGAAGATAAATTATTGGAATCATCCCTCAAACAAGAGAGCTCAGATTTATCTCAGGACATTCCCCTAAATTACAATCGGAGTGTATTTAGGATGGCACCCAATGGCCATTTGATTATTTACTCAGTGAGATAATGCTGTGCACTTAACTTTGTCTTGTAAACAACTTTGGCCTTGCTTTGTTGTCTCTGCCCGGCTATCAACTAACTCTTGTTTCTCAAAACCAGAGTTAAGTTAGTCTGGTCCCTGTCAGACAGAACAAACACCCACAGAAGCCTGACCTCTGCCTGGCTGAAAGGAATCTTTACTAAAAACACGGTAACAATGCCGAAGTCCCAGGGCCAGCGTGCCAGGGCTTCACACATGACAGCATGGCTACACCATTCTTGGATATGATGTAACGACTTGTTTTCACTGGACTTAGGCAGAGTCTCATTGTTGCTAGAAGAATTACAGAGAAAACACATATTAAGTTGTGGTACGTGAGCAAATGGCATATCTCTACTTTTCCACTGTTGTTAATGGCAGAAAGCATACATGTAATGTTTGTTTAATATACCCAACATTTCCAACCTTTCAGTTATGAAAATTTGCTGCCTCCTTGGTCGCATGTGACACTACACTTCCTATCTAATTGTTAAGATTGTTGGTTGAACAAATTAAGATATCTGAAGGTGCCACATTCACTTTAGACAGCCATTAGCATTTATTTTGTGGCAAGGTCCATATTCTTTACAGGGTTTATTTACTTCTGGTATCGATCATACCAGACAGCTATAAAAGATATCATAAAAACAGCAGATTTCTCAAAGAATGTGTAAGCTTAATCTCCTCTTTCTATAAAATATCAGTATGATTCCAAGTTTCTGAAACACTGGCTATTCTCCTGTGGTTGATGCAGATATAAACAGACAGTTGTTCTATGGCTAGTTGTCACACAACTCTGGTCACATCACATCTGATACTCACATCAGGCTTGCAGATATTCACAATAGTAAGCATGAATAAGAATGAACCAAACACACCGCACATCTGGTCTGTTTTTTTAGAATTTTTTAACTAATTCTGTGGTGAAGCATATGACCTATATAAATGTAAACACTTGTCTTTGAAGATCTGTGGACGTCCTTTTCTCACGCTAAAAAAACACGACATCAACTTCACTGGGGAAAGCGGCATGTTCCCAGGATGAATTCACAGCCCCATTCTTGTGGTTTGCAACTTTGGACATGACGGCAACAACAAAAATTTCACCTCATTTGACTGGATGATTTGCCAAATAGGACACCATCTTCTGGAAGCTTTACAGAGCTGCTGCCACAAATATTCCCACCTGGTTTGTGCTCACAATGCACAACATGTAGCATGCATTTTAACAGCACCTTGCCTTAGGGCACATTGGATCTGGTTCTGTAGCTTGCCACACTTAGCGAGAACATGACTGTACTTAAGCATGGAATTTGATTGAAAGCACGGGGAACACAACATGAAAGGAAAACAACAAATCTGATGTTATCACAGCAGGCATAAGCACAATGACAGAACACCAGCTTGTTTTCATCTGCACAGGAGAGACAAATTTTCCCCTGCAATAACAGAAAGACGACTACTAGGCTTGCAGGGTTGTTTCAGGCACTAGAGCGCATGTCAAAGAGGATACAAATTTCATTATTGCACATTTTCAGATCATTTTACATCTAATCACATCACATCTACATATAGCAAACAGATGAAACTGAATGAAATATATTCAAATTAGTAAATCATCAAAGCTCAAAGTTTGCAAACAATTAAATAGAACCTGAAAAGATCTAATGAACTTCTTCTATATACTGTCAGGCTTTATTTAATAATTGTAGGGCTGCCATTCATTATTGTCTTTATCTGTTGATTACTTTTTTTTGAAAAATTGGATTGGTTGTTTTGGTCTAGAAACGTAAAAAGCTGCACACAGCAAGCAGAAGAGAAGAAAGTAGACCATGTTCTCTTTTTGTGCAACTGTGGAGAGTTTACAGTGTCTGATCTACTGCCATTTACTACATGTAATAATAGTTGTATACACCTAAGATGGAATGCGAAAGCTACGGAGCTGATAACGATGAACTACGATGCCTTGGAAATTTGATAAGTAGTGGCAACAAAGTCAAGGCTTTGAATACACACGTTCTGATTTATTTGACTGCAATAACTTGGAAAGGTGTTTTACCTCCGTTCACGAGTTAGTGAGAAGAGGAGACAGCAAATCAAATACAACTTACCCTGAATGACAGCCAAACAACTGCAGCAACATCAACAACAAGTTGTGGACAAGTTGGCCATGGCAGAGAACTCGTCCTGCTCCCTATTTCTTCCTCTGTAGTAACAAAGAGCAGCTCAGCGTGGAGGGAAAACAAAGTCTCGGTGAAAAAAAAAAGTCACTTTGAGCTCACTGAACGCTTTTTTTATTTTTTTTACTACGAATATGTGAGTTTTGAACCCGCCGCTCGTCTGTCCCGGATCTACCTGCCGTAGCTCCGGTAGCTGCACTTCACACACTGCTGCTGCTGCTCCGTTTAACTGTGCGCGCTACACGAACCCACGAACGCGCAAAAGGGAACGGCTTTTAAAGTAGGTTAGGTTATACGGAGCCCCGGAAGGTTACGTATTTTTATCTCGTAATTTTATTTTTACGCTCAAATATACACATTCTTCCACAGTGACACCACATACGTGGGAACTACATTTATGACTGGCTGACCGGCAGGTGCACTTTAGTAGTAGCTCAAAAATATAGTTCCGGTCAGCAGTTTAATCACCGTTCCAAATCAAGGCGCATGGACCGTCAAAGTGCTGGAAACCATAGCAACAGTAATAATGCTTCATTTTACCTACAAATTAATTAGTTACAACTGTGAGTTAAACTGGCGAAAGACACACTTTAAAATGAGTGCAACAGCATATCCTTTCCTTTTCATTTTCATGTGACCATCGTACAGTGCCTATGAAAAGTTTTAACACTTGTTTTTTGTTTGTTTTTTAGATTTTCACTATGTTTTGAATTTGAATATCCATTTCAAAAGACTTTTTTTCTGGCCAAGAATTTACAAAAAAAAAAAAAAAAAAAGATCATTTCATGTCAAAGTGAAAACAGATTTCTAGTAAGCAGTAAAGTATTTACCTATTTCAATACAGATGCAGCCAGTTGGTATTTGAAGTCACACAATTAGTGAAACTGAGATCATCTGAGGGCAGTGAATGTGCCTCGGGTTATCATAGCATAATGACACCTATAACTGGAAGGTCTGGTTAATAATCTATCGGTATTCCTAATTATAAGTACTTCATGATTACAAAAGAACACTCCAAGCAATTTGGACACATTGAAATTTCTTGATTACTGTTAGTCTTTATTACTTTTAGATAGAATTCGACACACCATGTACCCAATTGTGTGTCCTACAATTTGGGTATATCTATCCACCATGCCATACCATATTTGCACATATCTGTATGTATGCAAATCCATCATGAAGACAAGGAAGAGATATTGTAAATGTGTAAATCTGCCTAGAGCAGGCCGTCCTCAAAAACTAAGCTACCGTCCAAGAAAGACACAAGTGAAGGAGGCCACCAAGACATCTATGACTCCTCTGAAGGAGTTACAAGTTTCTGCAGCTGAGTTGGGAGAGAATCAGCATACAGCAACGATTGCCTGTTCTTTATCAGTTAAAGCTTTATGGGAGAGTGGCAAAGAGAAAGTCACTGTTAAAAAAAAGTCTAATATTAAATCTAGACCAGAGTTCACCAGAGGATATGTGGAAGATTCATTGTTCTTTGGTCTGATGAGACCAAAATGGAGGTTTTTGGCCATTGGACTCGATGTTATGTTTGACACAAATGCACCATCCCCATCATGAAGCATGGTAGTGGCAGCATCATGATGTGGGGAAGTTTGGACTTAAAAATAACTGTGCACTTATGATCCTTGTGCAGCCTGACAGGTTTACAAAGAAGAATGGGGTAAAATTGCAGTGTCTAGATAAGTGGGTGCAGCCATTTATTTTCCTTTCTTCCCTTTTTTTTTTTTTTTTAACTATTTGACATTACTTTTTGGAAATCAGTTTTTACTTTGACATGAAAGAGTCTGTTTTTGAAAATTCTTATCCAAAAAGCCTAATTATTCTGATCATGACTCAACGTTGAAAAGCAAACAACGGGAAAACACACTGTATGTGAGCAGAGCCATAGCTAGAATTTGAATAACACTGAGTCCAAGTCCAAGTTTTTCATATTTTATGGTGGGCTGCAAGGCAGCTCAGTGGTTAGCACGTTGCCTCGCAGTTAGAAGGTCGCCGGTTCCTGTCCTGGGACACAGGGCACCCGGGATCTTTCTGCATGGAGAGTTTGCAGCGTGGGTTCTCTCTGGATTCTCCGGCTTTCTCCCACAGTCCAAAAACATACTGAGGTTAATTGGTGATTCTCAATTGTCCGTAGGAGTGAATAAGAGTGTGCTTGGTTGTCTGTCTGTCTATGCAGCCCTACGATAGACCCTGCCTTTGTCCTAAGTCAGCAAGGATGGACTCCAGCCCCCCATTGTTTTTTTTGTTTGTTTGTTTTTTTCTCGTTTCATCAGTTGGTTTTAGTTGTAGAAAAAACAAACTATTTGAGCCATAAGCATTTCAAACACATCGTGGCCCAGCCTTTTTGAGTGTGATAAATGTCTGTTTGCAGCTCAGTGATGTCATACGCTGGCATTTTTTTGCGGTAAATGTAATCCTGACTCTCATTTCGTTGGGATTTTATGAGTATTTAATTGCAACTACTTCTGTGGGAATTGTCAACATCACTGTTTCCTGCTCTGCATCTGGTTTCCAGCAGAACAATACCAATATAATGAGTGCTACTGACTGTGTCTACTTCTGGACACATATTTGGAAAAATGTCACAAAGTACACATTTCTGTCAGAAATTCTGTCTAATTCTGAACACATACTAGGAAAAATGTCACTAAGTACACATTTCTGTCAGTGACATTCATAAAGAAGTTGGGTTTTATCTAGTGTAAACAGAAATAATTGTGAGGCAGCCCATTCTGCTCCCTTCAGTCCTTTATTGTTCTCATTGGATTGACCATAGTCAGTGTATTTTTAAAACTCCCACACAAAATAGCACATCATTCATATAAGTTGTCCAAAATGAGAAGTGTATGGTGCAACCATGTAATGCTTAACAAATACAACAGAGTGGATAAATAAATAATGACTTCCTCCATAAGGGTCGGCACTTCAAATAGGAAACAAAAAAGAGAGTTGAGTTTATAACAGTTCAGTGCTATCAGTGAAACCATGTTATTAGATCAAATATCAAAGCTGTTTCCAGTTTCAGATCCCTATGGACACAAACTATTGTTTACATTCTCAGCTCGCTGCAAATCTGCAAAAGAAACCTGAAGATTAAGGGACTGATGTCTGAAGGAAAATACTGTTTTCTAATGACTGCAAAGTCAAAACATCACTGAAAACATTGTGTTTTGTCCTCTTGCTTTTGTCTTGACTGCTGCGGCTGCTGAGTCACGACCAAACACACTCCTTCTGCTTGGAGGTCACATCTACGTTTTCAGCTTGTCATGTGAAAATGAGTTTGTGTTGCCTCCTTCATTGTGTAATCTGTTATTATTGACAAACTTATCAGCACATTGATATGAGAAGCGCTGCTATGTCGTTCCTGATTCACTCCCCTCTATTTTTCATTTATGTCTCATTCAGTGTGTATGATTGATCTGAACAGAACTTGGTCAAATGGGTCCCTCCTTAGCAGTAAGTAATTTTATGACACTATTGTTTTGACTGTTAGATGAAATGATCCACGTTTAGCTGAGTATTAAGCTGGGTGTGTGGTGTGTGGGAAGACAGTTCTTAATTTAATTTTTATCTGCAAGCTGACAAGACCTTTCACCACTGTGTGTGTGAAAGAGAGCCATAAAAATGCTAAATGATGGTGTTTCTGAGCTTGAGTTTAAGCAAACTGTTTTGTTCACAGGAATCTGGAATTACTGGAGAAGACAAAAACAACATGACTGATGATCAGTTAGTCGCCTGCGTCGGCCAAGTAAACACTACTGGAATAGAAACTTGGCTGACACTTTTCTCAGCCACACACGTTGCAACAATGATGCAACACTTGTTGTGCATCTGCAAAACACTACTTCAGATTTGATCATTTGATATCATTAATACGACATAAAATCTTTCACGTCGTTAGCAGAGTGAACAGAAGTGACTGTTAGTTAAAGAGTTAAAGTGTGGAATTATTTAAAGACTAGATGTGGACTGCGACAAAAACAGTACCAACAACGAAAGGGATGAATGTGTGAATCAATCTCATTTATATCCGTCGCTCTGCCACTGATGAAAATGAATACATCAAAGAGCCGTCAAGTCACTTAGTTGATTAAATTTTAAATGGACAGCGAGACTCTGACAGTTGACCAACATCCAGCAGACCTCGTTTTCTGAATGAGCTCATTCATCATGTTGAAACTGAGACGTGTGCGGACAGAGAAGTGGAGCTTATTCCCCTTCAGAGACGAGTTGCTCAAAGCTTAATCAGCAGATTTCGAAACGTACGTGGAGTATTGTAAGAGTCCTTTCTGATCCAAACAGTCCTCTTAAGCCTCCACCCTTCTTTGCATCTGTTCTGCAGAAAGCTTGAACTTGACCCCTGTTTTTTTGGTGTTCTATTGTCTTCAGTGTTAAACTTGCTCAACAATATCACCAGCTGTGTTGGAGGGCATTTTAGTGCATTCTGTGAAAGCAACGTGTCTGCTCTTCTTCCTGGTTTGGTCATGTCACATTGTTTAGACTGGATGACACCATTAACAGATCTTTTATTTGGGACTTTATGTGGAATTGCTCACTGCTGGAATGGCCTTTGTGGCTGCAATGTGATGTGTTCACTAGAATTGTTCAAAAGGCAGTTAAACCGGATAGGCATCATGTGTGGTTTCCCACAAAAGACTTTTCCTGGCAAATATTCAGATGACCCTAAGGTTCATGTATACCACTTGAGATAAATCTTTTTTTTAAAAACTTTATTGCTAATTTACTCATCAGTGACTGCCTGTTTTCACACGCTCAAACAATTCTGATAAATGCCTAAGGATATAAGGGAGAGATGGAACGTTTTTACAATCTGGTTTTTCCAGGTTGTCATTCCTGTCACTTTCGATTTAAAAATCCCTGAGACAGGTGCCTAATGGGGCTGAAAGGTTAGCATTGTTACCTCGCAGCAAGAAGGTTGCCGGTTCATGTCCCCTTCTGCGTGGAGTTTGCATGTTCTCCCCGTGCAGCGTGGGTTCTCTCCGGGTTCTCCGGCTTCCTCCCACACAGTCCAAAAACATGTTGAGGTTAATTGGTGATTCTAAATTGTCTGTAGGTGTGAATGTGAGTGTGCTTGGTTGTCTGTCTCTAAGTGTAGCCCTGTGATAGACTGGTGACCTGTCCAGGGTGTCCCCTGTCTTCACCCTAAGTCAGCTGGGACAGACTCCAGCACCTCCACGACCCTAGTGAGGATTAAGCGGTGTACAGATAATAGATGGATGGAGGTTTTTACTTTTGTGGATCTTCAGGATGTGGTATTCCCTACTGAAGAGTTTATTATCAGAGACAGAACATGAAAACCTGACCAGGTGGCACTACTGGTTAGGAAAGGGCAGTACAACAGGGGTAGCAATTATTTCAATGATGCATCAGAACTAAAAACTCGACTTTTTTACTGACTGTGCTGCTGTACATCTAATTTTCGGCATATACATACAGTACTGAAGTTGAATTCAGCAGTTTCATGTTTTAAAAATTAAGATGTTTGTGAAAGGATGAATTTGAATGTATTTCTCTGCTAACTTTTTATGTCAAAATATATCTAAATGGAAGTGTCATGGTTATTCAGGTTCAGGTTTTTATTGTTGCTTTATATCAAATTAAATTCTGCATATTTTGTTCTTGTATTGATCATGGGCACATCAAAAATACTGGTTTTGTTTTTAATTAAAGGCAAAGAAAAAAAGTACAATTGCAATTTCTTTTAGTGCATTGGTAAAAATGAAACATTTTAGTTTCAAACACATTTCTGAACTACTTTTTCAAATATATATATATATATATATGCTTTTATATGTTTTTCCTAACTCTTCATTTCTTTTATGAATAGGGTGCAGTATAAAGGTTTGTTTGACTGACGGGCTCTTATTAGAGGTTTAATTTTAAGAAGGAAAAAAAGAGAGACGATGAAAATGATTTAAAGCACCAAAACTACAACACTCCGATTTGAAGATATCTAGCAAACTAGAAAATCAAATTCCAAAATATCCACAAAGGACCCTGAGCTCTGTTCTGCAGCTGCACCTCCCTCTAAAGCAACACGATTACAGCACACACCAATAAAGACATGAGGCTGTGTGTGCGTTTGGTGGGGCATTGTGCACTTAGGAGGTGTGTGTCAGGGTTTGTTCTGTACTCGTGGTGGTTAACGTTGCTCAAGCCAGTCGGATGTCTGCTGCTGGGTCAGAGGAGAAGTGAAAGAGTCGAGTGCTGTTTTCCTGTCTGTCTTTATAGCCACACGGGAAATGATGCATCCTTTTTCTTCTGCTCGTAGATTTTACTCGAGTGTGTGCACAGATTCACGTATTCTTTAAAAGGCACATAAGGACACAGTCTACAATGCTGTGACATGAAAGGGCAAGTTCACCTGATAACAGAATTAAGGATGCACTATTAAACAAGTCTCTGTTAAAGTCTGCATTTGTGAATTAGAGATTACATTTGTGTTTGCATGAGGTCGTTACCACAGGAGTTGTGCAACAGAAATGAGAAGTAGACGGTACACATTTTAACAAACAATATAAAAATGTTGGTTTTAAGGCAGAATTCCCTTTAAATATAACAATTTAGTTAGATATTTGGATGCATGCAGACATTTCTGTACTGCCCCAAGTTACAAAGAGTCACATTCCTTCAGCCTGGAAGGAGATCTGTGTAAATGTTGAAAGATCTGACTTGCACTGATGTGCTGTCGCTTTCACATCAGAGGCACTTGACAGAAAATGTCACATCAGCAGAGCAGAGCTGCACCACACACGCAGATAAATATTTTCCCACTGGAATCCCAGAGAGCAACGGTTCAGGGTTAAGTGTCTAATAATGGCACTGAACTCTGGAGGGAAAAACAAAAAAACAAAACAGGACCACACAAGACAATATTCCTTTTATAGGAAAATTTTAATAGTTATTCAATGTTCTACATTTTACAGTAAATATACAATTACAAACTTGGCTTAGTTATAGTACTAAGATCACTAACTGATCTTTAAAAAAAAAAAAAAAAAAAAAAATTTTTTATTTTTTTTTTTTTTTTTTTTTTTA